GCAATACTCATTTCTTAGAACGATCAATTTAACATGCTTGTTTCTTGTCATACACTCAGAATGTTTGATCAATTTCATAATACTTGACCCTTATTCTGGATTTAGGACAGCACAGGAGACATATATGCTCAGCCTTTGTCCAAACTTTGCAGTACATTACAATTATGCATGAAATAATAGGTAGTTATTAACACAACTTATACTCTAGATGCTTTTTTTATCCCATAATTAGCTTCCAGTATTCATAGTGTCAGAGATCTATATTTCTGACTGACAAAGCAAGATTAATCATGCAAAGAAGCTACTCAGTTAAAAAGATTTGAACATCTAGAAATGGCTAAATACAACATTCAATCAGACGTATATAAACATAGTAGATAAAGTAGCTTTGGTTCCAAAGAGACCTACTGACAGTGGGAAGTAGAAGAAGCATTTTATTTCTTTTAGTTAGGAAGGTCCATTTTCTTCTATTTAAGAAATTAACTCAGTTAACTAACCTGTCTCTCAGGAAATGTCTTTCCACCAGAAATCTCCCCCTTTAATTGGCATGAAGCTTGAATAAGGACTTAGATCAAATGCTGACTATGTGCGGGGAATCAGTTAAACAGGTCCAGTAATAATCAGAGAAGCTTTACACCTAGTGAGATCCATAAAGCTTCATTGCATCATCACTTCTTACTGAAACTACGACTATCAAAACTCACTTTTGAAAAATCCGGGTAGCATGAAACATTATAAGACAGATCTGGATCATTTCACATATCAGCCAGTAGGAGGAAGTGCTAACATATCATTATCGGATTGAAAAAGGCTGTAACCAGGATCTTTTGTTAACCTTCTAGTTTGAACTACATCTCGAGCATCCCGAGCACTATCCCATAAGCCAGCTGCAGAATACATACTTGCTAGAACCACATAGCTAACAGCTTTCATAGGTTCAAAATTGCATAAATGCCTGGCTGCTACCTCTCCAAGGTACATATTGCCATATACCCTACATGCCCCAAGAACTGAACCCCAAAGAGAGGCACTAGGCTTTATATTCATTCTGCAAATCAAATCGTAGGATTCATTTAAACAGCCACTGCGTGCAAAAAGGTCCACAAGGCAAGAGTAATGCTCATCTCTTGGAATAATTTTATATTTTTTGACCATCTTACTGAAACATTCCCATCCTTCAGCAGTCAACCCATTATGACTACAAGCAAACAGGAGAGACAAGAATGTTATATCATTTGGCTCAAAACCTTCACATTCCATCTTCTTAAAATATGAAACTGCATCAACTCCTCGACCATGTGCACCATTAGCAGAGATCATTGACGTCCATGATATTATATTTTTCTCTGTCATGTGATGAAAAACATTGTTGGCATCATCAATTTCCCCTGTTTTTGCATACATATCAACCAAAGCATTACTCATGGCCACATCAAGAGTGCTCTGGTATTTAATCGCAATAGCATGTAGCTGTCTTCCCAAAGACAAGGATGCTGTATTGGCACATATGTTGATCATAGAGCATAACAAAATGCTATCAATTTCCCTATGCATCCGACGTAATTGACAAAAAAGTTCAAGGCACCCACTGCTATTTTTACCTTCACGTGCATAGCCAGTAATTAACGCAGTGCATGAAATCCTATCTTTGTTCTGCATCTTCTTGTATAGATAATTTGCATTGGCCAGGTTTCCACATTTTACATAGGCATCAACTAATGCTCCACTTATAATACTGTACGACCCATAACCAAGTCGAATGATACATCCATGTATCGTACTGACTTTCGCTAGCCCACTACCCTTGCCACCTCCTATAGATGCTTTGAGAATGCTTCCAAACGTGAAGCAATCGGGGAGTATACCTTGTCTGAGCATCCAACGGAACAACAGAAATGCATCAACGCTAAAACCACGAAAAGCATATCCAGAAATCATGACATTCCAAGAAACCAAGTCCCTCTCTGCCATTGACTCGAAAACACAAAAAGCATTCTCCATTTCCCCACACTTAGAATGAAAATCAACCAACGCACTCTGCACGCACAAATTATCCAAAAACCTGCTCTTCTGAATGCACCCTTGTATTTGCTTTCCTAAATTCAAACATGACACACTAGTGCACGCCCTTAAAACACTTCCATAAGTAAATTGATTTGCCCTCACCCCTTCCCTACGCATCGCAACAAACACATAAAGGGCTTCTTGTGAATACCCATTCTGGGAGTGCCCAGATAAAAGCGCAGTCCACGAAACCACATTCCTTTCAGGCAACTTATCAAACATATTGCAGGCATACACCATGTCATTGGACATTGTATAGAAAATGATCAACTTGGTTCCCAAATGAACATTTGAAGGAAATCCAGTAGTTATAAGATGTGAGTGAACCAAACGGCCCTGTTTATGAGCCTTTAGGTCAATGCAAAGCTGAATAATTTTTGAGTAAATAGTATAGTCTGCTTCAATGGGGTTGTGAAAAGCAAGTAATAGAGCTTCCGTAAGCTTTCTGGCATTGCAGAGTGTCTCAATGGCTGGTCTTAGGGGAGGAGACTGAGAGATTGGGCTAAGCCAGTTAACTACATTTCTATACGTTCTATTCATCATTCTTTTGCAGATGAATTCAAAATAAAGAAGGAGAGGAATGGCTCACATTGTGTGAGGCACGAGTATTACTAGTTGTGCCAGAGAATCCACTTTCTTCTAACTTTGAACTGTCATCAACTTATAGTCCGGGGCCCATCTAAAGCTGAAAAAACTACTCCTGCCACTTGAACATATTTTCAAGAGCCTCAATTTTTCCCTCATAATTCCCAAATTTCTAATCTTTCAATTTTTTTAAGACGAAATTAGAGATGAAAATGGATGGTGGAGTAGCACCGATCGTGTCTCCAAGTTCAAATTGAAGAGGGGGATGCATTTGGGGGCCGGGGGGAGAGGAGAGGAGAGAGGGATGTCTGAGAGCAGGAGGGAAGAGAGAAGATGGACAAAATGGTCCCTTATGTTTGGAGATATGTTCAGAACAGTGTGCTCACTTTAATGGCAAATGACATGCGAGTACAGGGGCTCCGAGGAGCACGGAGGTTTGAATCTTTTTGACTATTCTACTTCTCAAACTTCAATTTCTCCCAATTGCCCAGACAAAACCGAGAACTGAGATTTTTAACTTGGAGAAAAGCTTCGATTTTTGTTGCCGACGAAGCCATTCCAACCGGAGTTCCGAGTTCATCGCTGGTTTCTACTTTCTTCCCGTTGCTATAAACTGGTACACAAGCTCTTTCAGTCCCCTCCTTCCGGTAAAAAGTGTAGCTTTTGCTTCGGCGCAGATGTGGACTTCCAATATGATGCACAAAGATTGGGTAGCTCCATACTTGGCTTAAGTTTTCCACCGAATCAAGTAAGTAATTGTAAAATTCAAGTGTCTTTTTTCTTTTCTTCCTGCAGATAAAGGATAAATTAACTATAGTTATTATTCTTATAAAACAAAGCTTATGTCTGTGTTCATTATAGAGTTAAGCGTGCCAATGCAAAGGTGTTAGTTGTATGTGGAAAAGCTTAACATTTCTTCTCTATGCTATAGGTTGAACTTGTTGTATTAGATTGTCACTCTAATTGAATTGAATTTAAATTATACAGCTTGAAGTGTAATTTCTGTTTGTGATTTTAGAGTTTTATTAGTGCTATCATTGATCGCCTTTAAAACATGACAAATCATCGAATACAATTGGAGTAGTAATTTTTATATTTATATGTTGCGTTTATCTTTTCATTAATTTTTAAAAATATTTATTGAATATTGATAGTCATTTATTGGTTATTGTATTTTAAGTAGAGGTCACTGTCCTAGATTCCTGAATCACTTGACCCATAAAATTTTAATCATGAATTTGCCTCTTCATTGAAACAAGTATGATTGGATGAGAGTTGCAAAATTTGCTAAAAAAAGAATGACTTTGGCTCCTAAGCCAGAGAAGTCTTTGTTTTCCTATTTTGGCAGGAGACATTTTTTCGTGGAAAAAACATTTTCAAAGATATCAAGGTAACAAAACATTGAAAAACAGTTAAATGAACATATTTCATCATTCAAACATACTCAAAGCTAGTGCAAAAAGGAAAAGTAAAATTAGATCTGACCCTTGTCATTGGATGGACTAAAAATATACTTATACAAAGTTACTGGAGAACGAAATTGCTTCTTTTAGATGCGTGTACCTGAAGTGGTAATAGTCACATTTTCTCTTGCGTGGTACAAACAACAACAATATACCGGTGTAGTCCCACAAGTGAGATTTAAGAAGGGTAGAGTGTACGCAGACCTTATCCCTACCTTTAAGAAGGCATAGAGGTTGTTTCTAGTAGACTCTTTGTTGCGGAAGCCAAATGTATATAGTGTGAATAAGTCACAACTACTATACCAAAAATTA